TAGTATACTTTTTAACCGACTTCAACAAAAGGAGGAGGTTTTCAATTCGGTTGATATCATATGAGACTAATGCCCGTTTTCACCATCAGTCCCTAATTTTTAAGTGGGCCCTATGGTAAGACATAACAAGCATTTTGTTTTCATATGGGTTACTTAAAAATTAGGGATTGATGGAGAAAACGGGCATAACATAATTACATACATAATTTTAACTCTAGTCGCAATTATTTATCATACGTTAACATTTGACTCTGCCAGAATTATTATACTGGCAAAGTCGAGTCACAATCAAGCCGACTAGTGCCTGTTTTTACCATCAATCCCTAATTTTAAGTGACCCCTATGACAACAAAATTCCTGTTATGTGTTACCGTAGGGGTCACTTAAAATTTAGGGATAGTGAAAACGGGCACTAGCCGGCTTGATTGTGACTCGACTTTGCCGGCTTTTTTTTACAAATAAATAGAATTAGCCAAACGATTTTTTTTAAATTTTCAAGTAGAAATTACGTTTGTTCATAGTTTTCTTTGGTCAGTAGTTTGTTGTATGTTTCAGTACCTACCCAATGCAAGAGAAAAGTAATACAGATTTGTTTTACACTACGGATGTTAAAATACGCAGTGCATAGTTCAATGTTGAAACTCTGCCAATCATGGTTTGTACCAGAACAATGAGTAGGAAATCAAACGATAATACTCTTACATCACTATACGTACAGACGACAGCACATCGAGAGAAATCCCAACTAATATTATAAATGCGAAAGTAACTCTGTCTGTCTGTCTGTCTGTCTGTCTGTCTGTCTGTCTGTTACGCTTTCCCGCTTAAACCTCGCAACCGATTTTGATGAAATTTGGCATAGAGATAGTTTGAGTCCCGGGAAAGAACATAGGATAGTTTTTATCCCGGTTTTTGAAACAGGGACGCGCGCGATAAAGTTTTTCTGTGACAGACAAAATTCCACGCGGGCGAAGCCGCGGGCGGAAAGCTAGTACTAAATAATGGTGTTTTATGCAGTAGTGATTAGATGCCATTTTCTAACAAAAAATATAGGGAACTGGTGTACATTAAAATTCGATGGGATGGTAAAATTGGGTTCTATTTAATGGTTTTTTTTAGGAGTTAGCCTCAGTTAGCACGTTAATTTTAACGGTAACTTTAACTATAATTGTTGTTTTGTATGGAGTTTGACAGTTTTTTGAAGTGTGTTATATTCAGGCTTACAAATCCAACAATTTTTACCGTGACATCAATATTAATTATATATATTACATAACAAATATGTAGAAATAACCATATTTCTGTTGACTTTTCCGTAAAATCTGAGTAATTTAACTAAAATTACAATTCGCTTGAAAAATATGGAGATACACGTATTGCCTACAAAGTAAGAAGTAAGGCAATATTAACAATAACGGTGATCTCTATCAGACTAGGAAAAAGCACGTGACAGGCGGATTCTGTAGAGATTTTAGCACGAAATACCTACCACCGAGAGTAAGGGCTTGTACATAAAACCGCGAACACCCAACAGCATTTCGTGTCCCAGTTTTTTGCGTTTAAGCACTAATGTAGCAATATCTCATAGATACAGGCAAGTGATGATTTTATTAAAATAGAGACTGATGAAAAACACTGAGATAAGATTGTGTAAAATGACTAATACTATCACACAGACGGTTTGTCTACAAATTATCTTGTTTTACAAGTCATCACATTTATCGTATTGTCTAAAAACGCCATGACCCATATCAATTAAAACATAGGTACGCAAAGCCGCAGCTAAATCATTATTATGTTCATTGATTACAACAAACTCTCGACTCTTATTAGGTTCCAGGTTCGGTTCGCTGATGGGTCACATGTAGGAGGCATTGTACTGCTTAAAATTATTTTATTAGATAGGTAGGAACTTTTTATAGCGACATACCTCATCTGATAAAACTAACCAATAAAATCAAAATTGAAACGGCACAGTTTTGACAGTCTTGTCGTTAAGAAGCGATCTCGTCCAGACAACGCAGGAAGAGGACAGTTGTTTAAGATTTAATTAAGACAACACTCAGTTCTAAGCACTTTTAGTTATGGTAATTCATTTCCATGTAAAAATTGAGTTTCGACCTTTGCCTGACCAAATTAGTTACTCCTAGGTTTGACTAACATTATTTAGTCAAAGGCCGAAATGTTTGGGCTTTGACTAAGACTTCTAGTCAGACCTGAGGATTGACTAGTCAAACCTAGGAGTGCCGGAACTTCGAGGTTTGACTATAACATATGCGTGTTTGTCTTGTTGGTTGTCCTAATAAATAAAACAAAACTCATTAGCAAACTTATCAATGAATAAATCTATATCGATGTTTTCCTTTATCAGTATTAGGTATTAGCCGTAAAATCTCAATTTCTTCAATGGAATGCGCTTTTATAGCTAGATTTATTTCAGTCTAGGCACCGGCCGGCTTTATGTCTGGGTGTTATCGATTGCTTTACGTAACTTATACGCCATAGCTTGTTCTTTACTATGTTTCTATATCCTATAGGATACGTTCTCGTATCGAAGAAAAACATAGTGGGGCTTACTACAAAAAGGTAAACGCCCGTTGAACCATACGTTGAACACTTGTTTACAATTTAAACAACTTAAAGTATGAAAATGACATTTTAAATCAAAGAGCAACGTGTGTTCAACATTTCTGTAATAAGGGCCAGTATTTTTAATGTTTAAGTAAAACAAACTTCAGACTAATATAAAATAGCAGCTATTAAAACTAAATTATTACTGTGTTTTTGGTAAATAAACGTTTGAACTTGAACTTGAACTACTTATGATGTCACAGTGTTTAAGATTGATGTGTAGTGGCGCGTAATAAAACTTATAAGTTAGTACGAACGAGGAAAATTTTCAGCTGAAGAATTGTAAATGGTAGGCCAGGGCATAGGTCACACGGTAACAATAGGAAAATTTAAATTAGTGCTCCAAAAGTCAGCTGATTATTATCATTCTCCTTAATTTATCAGTTTTTGTGTTTTTGAAGATTTTTGAAATATGTAGATTCGCATAACGCAAATACACTACAAAAATTATAAAAATAAATACCCCGCAGTTAATTTAATTTTGGATTTTTACTCGACAATGCCAGAAGGCGGGCTATGTTTTTATAATAAAATGTTTGCATTGCATTTTCCTGTGAGTACATAATTGGGATCATAGTGCTATGTGCGTTTCATAAGAAAATCGATAGTATAATAATTATAATACATAATAATAATAAATTATAATTAAATCCAGAGTTAAATATTTTCCCAGTCTGATTAGCTTTAATCAATTAGATTTGTTTAATTTTCGTGGTTCAATTCCCGCTGGGGCATATTCATGCGAAATTATTGATAATGCTTTTTTATCATCTTTCCCAACGCTGATTATGTTTTAAACATTTTATTTGTAATGTTTATTATTTAATAATACGATGCAGTTAAATATAATGCTTACATAAATGCTTAAATTAAAAATAAAATAAAAATGTAAGTAGGTAGATATGTACATACATTTTCCTTTAACTTCCCGATCGAGTCCCGAACTTAAACTTGCGTCAAAAACCACGGTCAGCTTTGCAAACCACTACACCCCCACATAAAATAGTACTCACTCGTGTAATAAAATGCGTCTGTCACAAAAACTCGCGTGAAAACACCGCGTGCGTTCGCAGCGTTTATTTACCCGCGCGTGTGCTCTCTGTCGCACCGCCGAAGTGCGAATGGCTGTAAAAGAGTACGGAGTAACGCAACATGGGACTTTATAACGCATGCGCGACGATGCTAATCCAATTGTAAATAAGATACAAATTAATCGTACGATGGTTTTTAGGTTTTACGGTTTTGGTTATGGGATAAGATGTTAACGAGTTGGTGATTTATGAGGCCTTACCAACAAAAAGTTGACTAAACTTTATTACATAAACTCTTGTTTATAGAGGATATCTGGAGAATTTCGCCCGTATTCACAAATGATGCTTGCTTAATCCTTCAAGCTCCGCGACACAATAGATAATCAATTGTTATGACATTAATTAATGCCGTCTGGGACTCAATCGGTTAAGTGAAGCAGCAAATCGAACACACAGATTTGAATAGAGCTCTGTGATTGGTTCATGTCACCCTGTGCGTCTATGATCTATGAGGTCTCACAGTGCGCGTTTACGCACACGGTTCCGTATTCACAAACTAATGTTTGTGTATGGCTGTGGCGTATGACTTTTTGGTAAGACACCACAACTACCCATAACCCCAGGTTAACCAGGTTGGATTTATAAATAATACAAATATACATGGTTCGCTTCAGTCAAATGACGTCCACTGCTGGACAAAGGCCTCCCCCAAGGATTTCCATAACGTCTGGTCCTGCGTTGCCCAATCGTCTGTCCACCTAGTTTGGGGCCTGCCCACACTACGTCTTCCTTCCGGTATGTATGCTTCATAATTATTATTCAAAAATCGTGTTAAAATGTTTCGTACTATAGTAAAGAAACCGCTTCTAAAATATTTTAAGTAAATCACCACCCAATAGGATTTCAAGAGTGTCAGATAGAGGTAGTCTCTAGCTCTAGCTAGTCTGATGTAACGGGCGAATGATTAGACGGTATTAATAATAATAATAAATACACTTTTTGCACACCAAAGATAAGAACAGAAAGAACCAAAGAAAAAAAGAAGAAAGAAGGTATTGTCGCAGGAAGCGATCGCTTCTTTATCGTTTAAAATAAAAAGAAAAGGAAAATAATAGCAGAAGGTTTTTATAAATCGACAGAATAGCAAGCCGTGATCGCTTCCCTTCGTCTCTTTTCTCTAACATTACGCATAAATATTACTCATAACGAAATTTAACCAGTAGCGAATGTCGCTTTGTCTAAAGGCGTGGTAGATGTATAAATAAGTAGTTACCATGGATACGTAGACGAGGATATTTCAAACATTATTACAAGCAAGAAAAGGTTGTTATTACGTACCGTGCTGGTAGGCTGGTAAGTTTCAGTGGAAGCTTTTGGCTTGCATCTTGCCAGAGTTGCCAGGTGGTAAATGTTGACCAGGCCGAAGGCGAGGGTTGGAAGTGAGCTTCACCAGAAACCCTCATCCATGGAGAACAGGCTCTGCTACCTCCAACTATCGAAACACAACAATGCTTTCATAATTAATTTTGAAAATAAATACTAAGTACTACCCGTTCGCGCTAAGTTTGCCGGTCCGTGGAATGCGCGTCCCCTCCCCCAACCGTGATTAATTTTTACGCAAATACACAATTCTTATCAATATTAATAAATAAAAAATATTTTAAATATAGTTTGTTATAGTTATAGACGTTTCCCTTCGAGTGACGTCATATCGCCAACGGCAAACTTAAAGCGAACGGATACTTAGTACTTACTCGTACTTGAAACTCCTGTAAGGCAAGGCAGTTAAGCACTATGGAGCCTTTTATTCTGAATCCTTCTATTATGAATTTAAGTATAACTAACACGTTAATTATATCGCTTTACACAGCGAGTTCGTTACCTACTCCAACCCGTATTCATCATCATCATCATCATTTCAGCCATAGGACGTCCACTGCTGAACATAGGCCTCCCCCAATGACTTCCACATCGCACGGTTGGTAGCGGCCTGCATCCAGCGCCTTCCCGCTACCTTTATCAGGTCGTCAGTCCACCTTGTGGGTGGACGTCCCACGCTGCGTTTTCCGGTACGTGGCCTCCATTCCAGAACCTTACTGCCCCATCGGCCGTCAGTTCTGCGTACTATGTGCCCTGCCCACTGCCACTTCAGCTTGCTGATCCGTCGGGCTATGTCAGCGACTTTAGTTCGTTTACGGATCTCCTCATTTCTGATTCGATCTCGTAAAGAAACACCGAGCATGGCCCTCTCCATAGCACGCTGTGCAACTTTGAGCTTCTGTATAAGGCCTATAGTGAGGGGCCACGTTTCCAACCCGTATTGTATTATTTAAACTAGAGTTTTTTTAACGTCAAATATTCTACAGTTAATTTAAGAGTTCATATAAACCAAGTTCCCACGCTACGGCAAATGTTTAAAATTCCGAACGTTAGGTTTTGAAACAAAAAGCTATTACTCGATGGTGTTTAAAAATAACCACGATAACAATTTACTTGACGCCGTCCACAGAGTTTAGTTATGTCTATAGGGAAATAATTATGTTTGTTTATTATTTCTTAGCTTATTTAATAAGAATAACGTAAGCTAACCTAATTAATACTGGATGGACCGCAAAGAAAAGGGTAGGTTACCTACAAAATCTTCTATAAATCTTCAAAACTACCTGACCTAGCATTATATAAAGTCTTTATTTCATAAAGCTAGGTCAGTTAAGTACTTAAAATTTTTAATAATGAACATTTTATAACAGAACCTTTTTCTTTGCGGTCCAGTGTAAACAAAACTTTACTTAAAAAAATTGCAGAAAAAGGACGAGTGAAGAGCATAGTGGCAGTGGCCCCTATGAAGCTTCCTAACCTAAGCACTAAGTACTTAGTAGATTTTGAATAACAATACACTTACTTGGTGGTGTACAGAAGTTTGATATCCATCCACTGCTGCACTGGCGGGCCCGCTTTATCTTTACATTCACAAGTACCTACAGGATCTTGGAATCAGAATATTACAGCAAATCACCAAACATCCACGAATTTCTCACTTTTTTTTAAATTTTATGCGGCACGCAAACACAGTTTGAGATCTCAACAGAATAGAAAAAAGTCTGTGGCAGGATCACGCGTCATTGACCGCGAGTGGCGCGCAATTTGAAATTCGAATTGTTCTTTTTTTTTCAATTATGGCTTCGTGCGGTTGGCACACATTATCATACAGCCAGGGATTACAGGAATTTAATTACAAAAATAAGATTCAATTAAATAAAACCTATATAGTTTTATTTTTATCAAGTTAAAAGAAATTACAAAGTGCAAACAAGTTAAATACTTTTTTTAGTTTCTTTCAGTAAATAGTTCTTATTTAAGCGTCATCAATTTAAGCGTAAATCAAATAGTGGGAAGTGGCGTAATCAAGGTCTATTATTTTGTTATTTTACTAAGGACCCCTAAAATGCAGTACCTACTTTATCAAAATCTAGCAGTCGTTTTTCACGCAAAGATCAGCATAAATAAAATGTCTCGCAAAAGCTAACAGATAAAAGTAATAAAAATATTTGAACAGCAAACATTGGCTCGTCCTCATTTACCCACGTGCAGACAGAATGATGTAGCATGGAAGCAGGGTCGGGTGATCTGGCTTAAGATAAAAAAGTAGAACTTGTCTTATTGCTTTCGGTTTAGTTTGCAGGTGAACGTGTTAATTTACTTCCTTGGCTTAATTAGTGGCATAGTAACAACAAAATCTTCGTTTCTAACTAGCTGACAAGGCGAACTTCGTACCTACCTACTGCCTAAGAGATTATAATACCTAAAAGTGTCATTAGATGATACTGCGTCGCGGACTACCAATAGTTTGTAAGATGCACATTAAAACATTACCCTAATTTTTGGGTAGTCGGGTAAAAGGTCAATTGACCTACTTTTTAAGCCGTGAAAATGCACCAATACCATAGGTAAATATTGGAATTTGTATACGGTCTACAGTCATTCTATGTTATGACGTCACATTTTGCTAACTCAGCTGATTCACTATTAATTTATTTCAAGCTGCTAGAAATCGAATTATGTGGTAAATTGAAAATCAACTCAATTTTCAGGGCTAGAATACTTAATGTGTGTTTTAAAGATGTTTGTAGGTACTGTTGATTTATTGGTGTCAACTACCCAATTTATATTTAATTTATTTTTGTCCAATTCAAATAGCTTAATGATTTGTAGTTATTTCGAATAAGTAAATGGATATAAAAAGATAAATTCATTGTGTGATTATGGACACAGACATGTTTCTAAAATTAAGTAATTTTAAAATTACTTTAATTTTTGTAAAGCGAATGTTTTTGAGCGTTTTTGATACAAACTCCTGGAATTCCCGTAATCGATGTAGCGGCATCTCTGTTTAAAACTAATTGACATACGTTACATTATTTCCACCAATCATAGTAATCGTCTCGAAATGATGTACTGACTGGTGAGTTGGTAAAACATAGAAGAAGAAGAAGGTCTTAGGTTTACAAGATGTAGAGCGACATATGCCAGAAAATGTTAAAATAAATGGTCCTGGGGAAAAAATTTTGGGAAACATTTTATTCTGACTGATATTTGCGCTGTCCATACCTCGAAAAATAATAACTTCTATAAAATGTTGCTAAGCGCAAAGCTCGAGAACGGTTAAACAAATTCTGCAATTTTTTCGAATTCTTCACGGCCCACGGAAGGTTTTTACGGAAAGAAAAATATAAAAATAAATATTTTTGTGCCGGAACGAGATACGAAGCCGCGGGCAAAAGCTAGTTTCTATAATAAATTCGTTCACTGACACAGAGCACGCAATTTATCATCATTATGCTTTTGACTATCGCAACATCACAGCTTTGGGTTTTTGTTTGCCTATTGAAAATGTGCTTCAACACATCGTCATCGTGATTTACATATTTATTAAGTATACAGGGTGGAAACGATAAGTGATCTCACTCGATTATTTCTAAACTATACAAGATATCAATAAACTAGTTATTGATCCTGAAAGTGCTTCATGAGCTCTATCAAACGGTATTAATAATAGGTTACAGAATAAACTGGATCTATCCGAAACTTCAATGTTTTGGTAAAGTCACATTATTTTAAAAACTACATATGATATCGTAAAACTGATTACTGATTCTAAAAGTGCTTCACAAGCTCTATCCAATGGTATCAATTAATAGGTTACAGAATAAACTGGATCTAACCAAAAATTCAATGTTTCCTTCTTCCATACATTTAGTACTACCACAGTCATGACACTCATCTCTTGACAATATTATAGCAAGTAAAGCCTAAAACCAATGTTTTTCATTAATAATTTAAAATAAGAATACAATTTACGAGTTTATTTTAAGTATTTATTATTAAATTAAAAAAATTACACTTCTAATATTGTGTGTCTGGCATACATTTAGTATGGAAGCTGGAAACATTGAATTTTCAGATAGATCCAGTTTATTCTGTAACTTATTATTGGTACCGTTTGAAAGAGCTCATTAAGCACTTTCAGGATCAGTAACCAGTTTTTTAATATCTTGTATAGTTAAGAAATAATCGAGTGAGATCACTTAACGTTTCCACCCTGTATAGTAAAATGTTACTAATTCTATCTCGAAAATTTCAATTTCTGAAAGATCAATAATTGTTACAGAAAAAGATTCCGGCATAAAACGTATTAAATTTTAAGTAGGTAGGTAGGTATGTAACTTAATTTTAAGTGAATTTAGTAGCAATTCTTAAAGGTAAGCAAGAAAATCTCGCTCGGTCGGCTCTCTTATTGTTACAAGTAGGAAATAGGTATTATTTTATTTGCCTTTTTAAATCATCTGCACATTTTGAGAATGTTAACGAACGTCATTATGTGTAATTTTTGTGTAAATATTGCGCTACATTTATGGAAAGTGTTAAACAAAACTAATATTTTGGTTGCACGAGACCATCTCATGGATCTGTGTACATTTTACTTTGGCGTCTGAACACGTAGTAGACGTGTCTCGATGTAGGTAACAAACACTGTGATATGTGATAGGGTAGTGGACATCCTAGCTACTTATAAATAGTTTCATCCACGAAGATTTCCACCCCACCATTCTTCCGCTAATGTTTGAGTGTTATCAGTACACGCTAAATTATCCATGAGTGCACAAGCACACTACAATAATAATGACGTTCGGATCCAAATCCTCGCACCCCTCGCTTCCCTCGACCAAAATTTGGTGGGGCGCGTCTTCATGGATGAAACGATCTACAGGGTGTTAGGTAAATGGGTATATGAGCCGACACTAGCCCATGTTAACATCCCAACTAATATTATAAATGCGAAAGTAACTCTGTCTGTCTGTCTGTCTGTCTGTTACGCTTTCCCGCTTAAACCTCGCAACCGATTTTGATGAAATTTGGCATAGAGATAGTTTGAGTCCCGGGAAAGAACAAAGGATAGTTTTTATCCCGGTTTTTGAAACAGGGACGCGCGCGATAAAGTTTTTCTGTGACAGACAAAATTCCACGCGGGCGAAGCCGCGGGCGGAAAGCTAGTCTGCATATAAATGGTATGGTGAAGTCAGGAATTTGATATCATCATTTTATTTTTTTAATTTTCATACAAAATAAATTTTATAAAATCCGATTGATACGAGAGCGTCGTTGTGACGTGAAGGCGGCCAGGTGCTCTTAGCTCCATCGGTACTTTTTTTTACGAGCTGTCAAAACGCGACTTCCATTTTGGTATACCGCCGAGGACTATGAAGTCAGTAGGGTGCCAAATCGACTGAAATGAAAACTAATTGATTTTAAAACTACACAAATCGAAAAACTATTGTTGTTTCGGTTCCAACTTGCAAATGAATCACGTTAGTTTTGTCGTGACGTAGCCTATACGTTTCTCTGGTGAATCACTGAATTCGAGATTACATCCCATCCTTTATCTAGATCTGTCTGTGCTGAATCTGATAAGATGCAGTCTATTTCCAGATGTTGGCTCAATGTCTAGCACGAATTTACAATAGCTTTCTTTTAAGACAATCAGTAACTTAGATAGTATCAAGAGATTATAAAGTATCTCATGTGAAACTGTAGGTGATAGAGATAAATGCTGAATCAATAAGGCGGCAATAGATGTAACGGTGTCGGTTTAACAGGATTCATGTTGGATTCCCGCTGCCTGCTGGACTGTAGGGGAGTAGACAGTAGGGGTGACCCCACCCCTAACACGCCCCCAAATGTGCTTACATTTGGCTTAACTGGGGTTAACGGGCTTTTAATTATTGAAGCAAATTACTAAAACACTTTGGGTACCTAAATAAAAAAAATAATGTAACCTAAAAAGTTACAGTTAAGTAAAAAAAAAAGATTTTTTTAATTTATTTTGAACAAAAATTTTGTGTCTGCTGAATATTTCATCTCATCATTTCAGCCACAGAACGTTTTCATTTCAGCCATAGGCCTCCTTCAGTGTAGACATCCACTAATAACGGATTTTACGAAACTCTATCAAGGGTTAAAATGGGGTCCACGCGAACAGTTTTTGTTTTTTAGTTTTTGAAATCTAACTCAGAACCTTCGATCATTACTTTCACAAACTCTAACTTCTATACTTTCACATTAATTCAACAAATAAGTCTGGCGAGGTCTAAGCTTAAAAATAAATGCAGACAAAAATATTTACAAAAGCTACCTTGACCGAAATACTGTTTTTAGCTAGACTTTAAAAACAAGTCACTAAAATCTCCCTTATCGTTTCAATGCCATATTTGACAAATAAATCGAATAAAATTCCGTTGTATGTAAGCTAACGGCAACTAAAATCTGTTGTCAAACAAGACTAATCTTTAAACTAAGAGTTAAAACAAATTACATGGTTAAATTTTCCTTCGAACCACGCGCTGCCCATGCAGTTGTATACGTGCGTCAATTTTCACGTGATTGTACGAGCATGTTAATTTACTTAATACTTAGAACTAGTTGAAAGAAGTTTTGAAGATTAGGTTTTCGGTAAGGAAAAGTATTGTTATACCTACCTACCTACATGGCTACTGCTTACTTCTAGAAGCATTAGGTATGAACTACGTGCGTCATTTTTTGCGAGATTATGCGAGCATATTAATTTGCTTGATAGTTAAAATAAAAGGCAGTTTTTAGAGGATTAATTAAACGCTAACGAGAAATTAGTTAAATACGTGATAATTAAAATTGAAATCAATTCAATGTTCTACTAGTTATTTTTGAGATATCAATATAGGTGTGACGTGGAATGAAGGAAATTCCGGAAAATTATTTTTAACCGACTTCAAAAAAAGGAGGAGGTTCTCAATTCGTCGAAATATTTTATTTTTTATGTATGTTCCCCGATTACTCGAAGACGCTTAGACTGATTTCAAAACTTTTTTTTTGTTTGAAAGGGTATGCCTCACAGGATTCTAGGGAAATCGAGGGAAAACCTCAAATTTTATAGGCACGTAATACGTTTTTCATAATTATTCTAAAGTTATTCAAGTATATGCGTCTGGTAGTCATGATCTAATGTTGAAGAGGTGATGATGGAAGGTTAACGCTTAGGAGTTGGAAAATAATTCTTTAAATATTTTAGGTACGTATGTAGGTACAAACAGTTGTATTACTTCAGGTTTTTTAGGTGAGCTGATGATGAAAGGTCAAACTTCGTAAGTTGGGAGTTAGATGATACTTTTTAGTTGCCCATATTTAAAGTAGGTAGCCTGTATTTTGTAGGGAAGATTATTTACACTTAAAATGGAAAACTACTGTCTCAATTTCATTAAACATAGGTACTGTCCATCTTCAGTGAGAATAACAAGGCCTAATCAACTAAAAAGCATAATATTAATTAATTTTAACAAAAAAATAAAACCGACTCTAAAAAACCTGCACTAAAAAGTAGAAAATAATTACATTATTCATTTATTAGGACAAATGTATACCTTGATTGATATTCTCGGAGTCGGTGAAAGTAAATTTAGAATATTTCTAGAGCTTGGCACTGAGCGAGCAGGCTGCCGGTGCCAGCCTAACAACAAGTATAAATTAATTAAGACGTAAGTTACTTTACTTTTTTTCTAGTTTAGCAACTCGCTAACGTCGGGGAGTCCCAGCTAGTTTTCGTCCAACAAAATTGATTGAACAAATAAGTACCTATATTACCACTTTAAGTACCTACCTACATGATTAATGCATGCCCTTTGGATAATAAATAATTGAGGTAAAGTACCTACCTATACAAAGTCATTGAGCAATTCGGCAAAATGGTCTCGGTTTACAAACAAAGAGAGGTTCAGAGATCAAAAAACGCATTATAGGTACCTAATATTATAAAAAACATAAGTGCCCTCCTAACTTAATGAGCTGCTCCTAACTTCAAAATTATATATATTATATAGTATTGTGATATCTTGTATGAAAATAATATAAGTGAAAATGACAATGAAAATGATGAAAATGGATGTGACTGCTTAGAACCTGATTGTGGAGAACTTCATGTATAAGAATTTAAAATAATAATAAACACATTTTTTGTATGGATATTGATTTGTTTTTGTTTCTAATAGTGACATTTTTCAGACAGTAAGTTTCAAAAGGTAACATTTTACAAAACTATTGAATCAAATGGTGACATTTACTTGTGACTTGATCAAAAGGTGACATCTGATTTGTTCTTTATTTAATTTTGTGTAAATTTTAAAACATACATGAAAACTTTTAATAGGGGAAAGTAGTACGAGATGATCCCCTTAAGCGGGAATCGCTGTAAAATACATATTTTTCGAGGTAAACCAAAAATAAATACGATTAATACTAGTATATTTATCTATCTAACTTTCCTTATACTCTAAACCAGANTCAATTCTTTTGTCCACATGTAAAGTGACGTGTCCGATTTGAAGACTTTTGTATTTGTTTTTGAGTTATCGTCAGTATTCAACTTAACGTGCTAAGTCTACGACAGATTGCAAAATAAAATCTACATAGCTTGCGTGGAGAATGCAATATTTGAAGGGACCATGCATGCATGTACGTATAGTCAACGGCACGTCAACGTAAACACTGTGGTTACATCTTACGTAGTTGCGATAAGGGCGACTTTGCAACAAAAATGTATAGCCTGATGTGCTGTCTACTGTACATACGTCTCAAGTACCTATGCAAAATTGCAATGAATCTCATACAAATGTGTCTAACCTTTTTAATCTCTCATATTTTGTAAACATTTTTCTCTTTCAAATACATACTAATTATGCTAATTATACACTATTGTAAATCACGGATACAACGAATGACTTAACCTACTGTTTATTTATATTTGATGATGTCATTATTTCTATAATGTTGTGACTCCAGTTTGGGCCAATATCTTACGCATTATTTTCGGCCTTGTGAATCACTTTACTTCAATGATTTCCCTCATTAAGTATCGATCTAATATTAGAGAGCTTTTTGTATTCTTATTCCCCTTGGTTTTTACTCAAAGTAATGTAAGAGGAGGACACCTAAAATCTGTACTCCAGTAGAAGGCTTCAACCAAATGACATCCACTGCTGGACAAAGACCTCCCCAAGGATTTTCCCAGCACTGCAGTACATCCAGTAGAATGCTAATGTTGATTAATGATTATGTAAACTTTTAATGTAATACCACAGAATAAGTACGACGTACAGAAGATTTTCTTCGCGAAGGTATTTAAAGAAATGTATGCACAATGTCGTTAACAATATGGTGTAATTTAGCTTGTCTCAAGAGTCGAACACCATTTTGTTGACAAACGTCAGTGATCGGTACTGCGCCGAAGCCATAGGGCTGGCTGACTTCGGTAAAATGGTGTATGACGTGAGGTGCCCAACTGCGGAAAATGGCGGAGGAAATACATGATTATGCATGAATTATATTTTGTGTTTCTATTATTATTCAGGCAGTTAAAATACTGCACTGTATTAATTACACCACCGTTTTCACATACATAGTTTATTGTCTTTACAATGCAAATGGGTGACGAATACACGTGCGTGCGTCAATGCTCGCTCTTGAGTGTCCTGTCGATTAAATATCCCAGTAGGCGCCGTCACGCGTGTTTTGTTTTCGATGCAAACTCGCGGAGATGAACAGGCACCGCCTTAGTCTCTCTACTCGACCTGTGGTTGACTGGCAGATAATGCCACCTGGCATTAAGTCCGCCACTGTACAATTGTATGTGCAAAAGTGTAAATAAAAAAAAAACAGGCCTGGTAATACCATGTCCTAAACGTAAACGTCTCTCTACATATAAATAGACAATTCAAATCTCTCGACTCAGACTAAGTTATAAATGAATAAAATAAACCTGTGGATGCGGGCGGCACAGGACCGGACTTTGTGTAAATCCTTGGAGGAGGCCTTTGTCCAGCAGTGGACGTCTTTCGGCTGATACACCAATGAACAATATCCCTCTTATTTCCAGAACAAAGACTAAATAGTAAAAAGCAGCAAGTGCAGAAGTGGCTAAGGTACACGGAGCCAGGCGACGAGCTGGAGCCGACAGCCTCGTCTCCCATGAAGCGGTCTTCCAGGAACCTGTCGGATGACTTCGAAAATGGAGACGACGACGACAGCCCGCTGCCCGAAGCGGTGCTTACCACGAATCTGGGGCTGGATATTGTGGTGGTCGTCACAAAGGTCAGTACCTCATTGCCAGAACAAAAACTAGTAAAAAGCAGCTAGTGCAAGAGTGGCGCTGGAACCGACAGCCTCGTCTCCCATGAAGCGGTCCTCCAGGAACCTGTCGGACGACTTCGAAAATGGAGACGACGACGACAGTCCGCTGCCCGAAGCGGTGCTTACCACGAATCTGGGGCTGGATATTGTGGTGGTTGTCACAAAGGTCAGTACCTCATTGCCAGAACTGAAACTAGTAAAAAGCAGCTAGTGCAAGAGTGGCGCTGGAGCCGACAGCCTCGTCTCCCATGAAGCGGTCTTCCAGGAACCTGTCGGACGACTTCGAAAATGGAGACGATGACGACAGCCCGCTGCCCGAAGCGGTGCTTACCACGAATCTGGGGCTGGATATTGTGGTGGTCGTTACAAAGGTTCGTAGATCTTATTTTAATAGCATATTAACTCTTTCCTAGTCAGTAAGATCGTCAGTCTATAGACTTGAGTGAAGAGTACTAGATCACGCTACAGAATAAGAAATCTTTGTTTTATGGACTTGATGTTGAATAAAAATTAAAAACTTATTCATAAAAACTAAAACAGTTCCATAACATGGCCGATGGGTGCAACCAGTGGATAGTTATTATTGTCCATACTTGGGGATTTGTCCACAGCTCTGCCTGCGGCTACGGCTTACTTTCCGCCGGAGTGAGCCCTCCGGCTACGAGGGCCCATGGGAGTCTATCCAATTGTGTTTGTAGAGGTTTTCTCATCGTGGCCCTGGTTAAGCAGGACCCTCGGCACGCCGTAGCGGGTTACCAGCTGCCGAGCTTTGATTTCTGTCTGCGGCGATATACCGGTACCAGTTGAGGATAGGGGAACGCCCCCAATCATGTGAGGCGTTGTCCTAACCGCAAACTGATGACGTTTCAAAACTGCATACAGAATTCGTTGCCTGCTGCTGTCTTTCCCGAAAACTATAATCCGGGCCTTTTCAAGGCGAGAGTGAATAGACACTTACCGGGCAGATATGTACCATCCTAGACTGCATCCCACTTAACATGGTGCGATTGTGGTCAAATACCTGCCTTGTATTGCATTAAAAAAAAAAGATAACGCATCAATCTAACCTGTTTCCTAATTCCAGACCGACTACATGACCACCCTGGAGAAAGAGCACGACTACCGCGACGAGCACTTCGACTTTATGCAGCAGTGGGTGCGGCGGTTCTGCCTGCAGTACGGCGCCGCTCTGTTCTACACCAGCGCTAAGGAGGACAAGAACTGCGACCTGCTGTACAAGTACCTCACGCATCGGATATACGGCCTGCCCTTCCGGACGCCCGCGCTCATTGTGGAGAAGGACGCTGTGTTGATGTGAGTATTAGATGTCCTTCATAAAGAACACTTCGGCTTCATGTAGCGGTGGGTGCGGCGGTTCTGCCTGCAGTACGGCGCCGCTCTGTTCTACACCAGCGCTAAGGAAGACAAGAACTGCGACCTGCTGTACAAGTACCTCACGCATCGGATATACGGCCTGCCCTTCCGGACGCCCGCGCTCATTGTGGAGAAGGACGCTGTGTTGATGTGAGTAGTAGATGTCCTTCATAAAGAACACTTCGATCCATGCACCAGTGGGTGAATGGTTCTGCCTGCAGTACGGCGCCGCTCTGTTCTACACCAGCGCTAAGAAGGACAAGAACTGCGACCTGCTGTACAAGTACCTCACGCATCGGATATACGGCCTGCCCTTCCGGACGCCCGCGCTCATTGTGGAGAAAGACGCTGTGTTGATGTGAGTAGTAGAGGTCCTCCATGAAGAACACTTCGGCTTCATGTAGCGGTGGGTGCGGCGGTTCTGCCCGCAGTACGGCGCCGCTCTGTTCTACACCAGCGCTAAGGAGGACAAGAACTGCGACCTGCTGTACAAATACCTCACGCATCGGATATACGGACTGCCCTTCCGGACGCCCGCGCTCATTGTGGAGAAGGACGCTGTGTTGATGTGAGTATTAGATGTCCTTCATGAAGAACACTTCGACTTTATGCAGCAGTGGGTGCGACGGTTCTGCCTGCAGTACGGCGCCGCTCTGTTCTACACCAGCGCTAAGGAGGACAAGAACTGCGACCTGCTGTACAAGTACCTCACGCACCGGATATACGGCCTGCCCTTCCGGACGCCCGCGCTCATTGTGGAGAAGGACGCTGTGTTGATGTGAGTAGTAGATGTCCTTCATGAAGAATACTTCAACTTTATGCAGCAGTGGGTGCGACGGTTCTGCCTGCAGTACGGCGCCGCTCTGTTCTACACCAGCGCTAAGGAGGACAAGAACTGCGACCTGCTGTACAAGTACCTCACGCATCGGATATACGGCCTGCCCTTCCGGACGCCCGCGCTCATTGTGGAGAAGGACGCTGTGTTGATGTGAGTAGTAGATGTCCTCCATAAAGAACACTTCGACTTCATGCAGCAGTACAAATACAAGTACCACTTCACTTATTCTTATTGACCGAGTTTCTTCCGCCACTTCTTCTCAGCACCAGCCCATATTAGGTTGTCTTGAAGTGGTGGCAGGGCAAGCTAAATTTAGGACGTGTATAAGCGCCCTAGAAAGGGTACTGAAGACACTATTTGATTTCACTTCGACTTCGTACAACAGTTGCTTGCTACGGATGCATGTGGGCGTGGCTAAATCTATCTACGAGGAACATATTGTGCATAATCGGTCCGTAGCTCGTGCAATTCACGTAAGATTATTTGTGAATGCAGTGCTACGATGCTACGAGATACGGCTCGACCGTAGCACTGAAGTAACAAATCTCGTAGTTATGTAGAACGTGACTATGTACCACCTACGTATGGATAATAAAATAATCTTACTTAACGAATGATGATGTCATTGTTACTTACGTTTTTTTTTTCCTTTTCAGACCCGCTGGCTGGGATAGTATGAAGAAAATTAGTATATTATATGAAAACATGCAGTCATGTAAACCGGACGACTACTACAGAGACGTTATTGTACAGCCCGCTATACGAAAAGTAAGTTAAAATCAAAATTTTATCAAATATGCCAATTGCCATGCCACTGTATTTTAGACTTTGATTTTTTAGCGGAGGCACAGAATAATAATATGTAATTACGCACAGAGAGTTTTCTTCGCGAAGTTATTTAAAAAAATGTTTACTCAATATCAATAATATGGCGTAATTTAGCTTGTCTTAAAGTCGAGTGCCGTTTCGTTTGACTTTGTCAGTGATTGATTCTGTGCCGGTGTCGTAGGGCTGACTGTTACAAGAAGGTACTGTGTCTCCATCTAGCGTACCACACGCGTATTTTACAATGGGTGAAGAATACGCGCGCTTATACGTCACTTACTACTTACTGTCTTGTGGATTAAACATCCCAGCAGAGTACGCCGTGTGTTTTTTGTATTCGATGCATACTCGCGGAGATAAACAGGCCTGTTATGGCTAACAATTTAGTGACTTACTTGAGTTTCATACGCTGCTTCTTGTCAGCACTGAGTGCACTGACCCATATTACTGTTCTGTAGCAGACTTGGGACCCGTAAGTAAGAGTGCTTTTTGGGAGCCTACTTGCTCTAAACTTGTGATCCAGGTTCTAAAACCTCTTTAACTCTTGTTCTACCCCTAAGGCAGGGTACTCACCAGTCATGTAGCACGTAACTCAGCATGTAACTTAATCAACCTTCAAGTGAGTACGGCTCGTCCACGGTCATCGCGTATCTGGCTGCGAGCTCCTGAATCCTACTGCGAGCCGCCTTTGTGCTCGCAGTGATACCGCCACTCGGCGGGTCGCTGCGATCTCCCTGCGAACCACGCGCGAGCAGCTCGCAGCGGGCTCGTGCTTATGTACTCACTTGATACAGTATCTGATACATTACATGCTACACGGTTAGATGAGTACCCTGCTTAATGACTGTTTCTTTTGTCCACAGAGCGGCGCCAGTCGCGAAGCCGAAGTCCAAGCGGAGGACGAGCAGGCGTTCCTGCAGCGGCAGCTGGCGGCGCTGCAGGCCGGCTCGCCCGCGCCCGCGCGCGCCGACTCCCCGCTGCGAGCCACGCACCGCGCCGCCGCACAGGTACAGTTACCTTACCCATTCTGAAGCACAGGTACAGTTACCGTACCCATTTTGAAGCACAGGTACAGTTACCTTAACCATTCAACAGCACAGGTACAGTACACTTGTCTACGCTGTCGTACAGGTACAGTCACTTGTCTACGCTGTCGTATAGGTACAGTCCCTCGTCTACGCTGTCGTATAGGTACAGTCACTTGTCTACGCTGTCGTATAGGTACAGTCCCTCGTCCCGAGCACCAGGCGCGAAGCCGAGGTCCAAGCGGAGGACGAGCAGGCGTTCCTTCAGCGGCAGCTGGCGGCGCTGCAGGCCGGCTCGCCCGCGCCCGCGCGCGCCGACTCCCCGCTGCGCGCCACGCACCGCGCCGCCGCACAGGTACAGTACACTTGTCTACGCTGTCGTATAGGTACAGTCCCTCGTCCCGAGCACCAGGTGGACTGCAAGCGGAGCACGAGCAGGCTCCCCGCTGCGAGCCACGCACCGCGCCGCCGCACAGGTACAGTTACCGGACCCATTCCGCAGCACGGGTACAGTTACTTTACCCATTCCACAGCACAGGTACAGTTACTTTACCCAATCCGCAGCACAGGCACAGTTACATTAATCATTCCACAGGACAGGTACAGTCACTTTACCCAATCCGCAGCACGGGTACAGTTACCGTACCCATTCTGATGCACAGGTACAGTTACTTTACCCATGCCGCCGCACAGGTACAGTTACCTTAACCATTCAACAGCACAGGTACAGTACACTTGTCTACGCTGTCGTACAGGTACAGTCACTTGTCTACGCTGTCGTATAGGTACAGTCACTTGTCTACGCTGTCGTATAGGTACAGTCACTTGTCTACACTGTCGTATAGGTACAGTCCCTTGTCTACGCTGTCGTATAGGTACAGTCACTTGTCTACGCTGTCGTATAGGTACAGTCACTTGTCTACGCTGTCGTATAGGTACAGTCACTTGTCTACGTTGTTGTATAGGTACAGTCCCACGTCTACGCTGTTGTATAGGTACAGTCCCTCGTCTACGCTGTCGTATAGGTACAGTCCCTCGTCCCGAGCACCAGGCGCGAGGCGGACTGCAGGCGGAGCACGAGCAGGCTTCCTGCGTTGAGGACCACCGCAGGGACGCGGTCGAGGATTTTATTCTTGGATGCTCCCTGCTCATTCATATCTCGAGTGACCAGCCTACCACATTTAGTACCGCCAACGAAGAGTCCAGTGTGGACGTCACCCTGTCCACGAGAGGAGTACCGTACCCATTCAACGGCACAGGTACAGTCCCTTTCCCATGCCGCCGCACAGGTACATTACACTTGTCTACGAAGCTGCACAAGTACAGTACCCCCGCGCGCCGCACAGGTACAGTTCACTTGTCGACACTGTTGTACACTCCCCTTTCCCACGCCGCTACACAGGTACAGTCCCTTCCCCGACGCTGCGCAGGTGCATTTCCCCCGAAGCTAATAACATATTGCAGGCCGGCTGTCTATTTCGTTTTTCCACCCATTTTTAGCCTACTGCTAAACTAGTTTTCATATATTGGGATGGAAATCCTTTTTCGGGGACCCATACACTATGAGATCGAAAACCAGCTTGATAAAGTTGTGGACGCTAATTTTCAATTTGAATTATTCACTTACCCCCATCTTTGGTTTCCAGTTGGACGGCACAAAAATCGGCATGGGCCCCGGCACGCCCGGCAACGAGGGCGTGTTGGCCAACTTCTTCAACTCGCTGCTGTACAAGAAGACGGGCTCGCCCGGCGGCCGGCCCGCCGACAGCTCGCCGGCCGCCGCCGCCGCCGCCGCGCGCTCCGACGCCGCCGCCGAGCTCGACCGGCTCACGCGCGCCAAGCCGCGCCAGCCGCCGCCGCTCGACCTCAACTCGTCGTCCGAGTGCTAGCCGCCGTGAGTACAACACTATTGTTCATTTAGTGTGGATCACTGCTGTAGCAGAGACGTGCTTTTCCGGTGGCCAGCCCGCCAACAGCTCGCCGCTGTCGCTCGACCTCAACTCGTTGTCCGAGTGCTAGCCGCGTGAGTGTACCACTGTTACTTTAGTACTATAGTCTGGTCGCCAAGCTACCCATCCTTATCGCTCGCGCGTAAGTATGTTGCGGTCGCGCTCGCACACTCACTGCGGGCGCCCGTCGCACAGTCGCGACAGCAATATAATTACGCGCGAGCGATAAGGATGGGTAGCTTGGGGTCATTGGACAAAATTCTACGTGCTCGGAGACCGGGCTTTAGATTGGCTCGCCGACAACTCGCCAGCCGCCGCCGACCAGCCCGCCGAAAGCTCGCTCGCCGGCCGCCGCCGCTCGATCTTAACTCGTCGTCCGAGTGCTAGCCGCGTGAGTGTACTTTAGTACTTATAGTCTGGTCTGTGAGCACGTAGAATTTTGTCCAATGACCCCAAGCTACCCATCCTTATCGCTCGCGTAGTGAGTGTGCGAGCGCGACAGCAACATAATTACGCGCGAGCGAGAAGGATGAGTAGCTTGGGGCCATTGGACAAAATTCTACGTGCTCGGAGACCGGGCTTTAGATTGGCTCGACCGGCTCACGCGCGCCAAGCCGCGCCAGCCGCCGCCGCTCGACCTCAACTCGTCGTCCGAGTGCTAGCCGCCGTGAGTGCACCACTGTTACTTTAGTACAGTCTTTCCCAAAGTGGGTGATAACGATCCCTTGTGGGCGCTGCAGACTTAAAAGGGGGCGGTAAGAGACCCAGCAAAAAAATCGGGACGTTATGTAGAGGCTTGGGAGGCGTCATCTACTAGGAGGACTCTTAGACACCGACTGAGCTCGACTCTTGACTACAAAAATGGGGGGCGCTAAAAAATAATTTATTCTCAAAGTAGGCAGTAGACTAAATAAGTTTGGGAACCACTGCTTTAGTACTATAGTCTGGTCGCCAAGCTACCCATCATTATCGCTCGCGCGTAAGTATGTTGCGGTCGCGCTCGCACACTCACTGCGGGCGCCCGTCGCACAGTCGTAACAGCAATATAATTACGCGCGAGCGAGAAGGATGAGTAGCTTGGGGCCATTGGACAAAATTCTACGTGCTCGGAGACCGGGCATTAGATTGGCTCGCCGACAACTCGCCCGCCGCCGACGACCAGCCCGCCGAAAGCTCGCACGCCGCCTTTGCCGCTGATCGACCTCAACTCGTCGTCCGAGTGCTAGCCGCCGTGAGTGTACCACTATTACTTAAATAGTAGATTTTCTCGTCGTTTAGTAATATAATCTGGCCGCCGAGCACGTAGAATTTTGTCCAATGACCCCAAGCTACCCATCCTTATCGCTCGCGCGTAAGTATGTTGCGGTCGCGCTGGCACACTCACTGCGGGCGCCCGTCGCACAGTCGCGAAAAATTCTACGTGCTCGGAGACCGGGCTTTAGATTGGCTCGCCGACAACTCGCCCGCCGCCGACGACCAGCCCGCGGAAAGCTCGCACGCCGCCTCTGCCGCTGATCGACCTCAACTCGTCGTCCGAGTGCTAGCCGCGTGAGTGCACACTCTCTGTAGCTAGCCCACCGCCGGCCCGCCGACAACTCGCCGGCCGCCGCCACCGCCGACCAGCCCGCCGAAAGCTCGCACGCCGCCGCCGACCAGCCCGCCGAAAGCTCGCACGCCGCCTCTGCCGCTGATCGACCTCAACTTAACCGAGTGCTAGCCGCCGTGAGTGTACCACTATCACTTTAGTACTAGATTGGCTCGTCGACAACTCGCCCGCAGCCGAACCGCCGACAGATCAAACGCCGCTTGACCTCAATGCCGAGCACTAAACGTCGCGTGAGTACAACACTAGCCAGCATAAGAAGTGTAGGTGTAGTGCAGTCATTCCCAAAGTGGGCGATAACGCCCCCTTGTGGGCGCTGCAGACTTAAAGGGGGGCGGTAAGAGACCCAGAAAAAAAATCGGAACGTTATGTAGAGGCTTGGGAGGCGTCATCTACTAGGAGGACTCTTAGACACCGACTGAGCACTCGACACTCGACTACAAATGGGGGCGCTAAAAAGAATTTATTCTCAAAGTGGGCAGTAGACAAAATAAGTTTGGGAACCGCTGGTGTAGTGTTTGTTCTCCATCGCATCTATTGCTCGACAAATGTCTCCCCCAAAAGTTTCCACAGCGACCGATCCCGAATCCCGCGCTGCTCGCATTCAGGTCGTGTGGGACACACGATGGAAATTATTACAATACCCGGCGATAAATATTGCACATCGACCTTAAGAAAGAGAAATCGGCTAATTTCGGTTTCGTAGAGCGTTACCTCTGTCGCACGACTGACAATGACGTTTTGTCAAAGTGTAAACAAACTTTATTTTAAATGTGTGCAATTGATTTTGTAAATTAAATTGCTAAAAACTTTTTATAGTCGTGAAAGAAAAGTGGTTCACAACATGTTAAAGTATTTGTCGAAGAGAAATACTAAGGGTTCTGACAATATTTTCATTGAATAATGTTTCGTCAATGACGTTTTGTCAATCGTATAGGTAGTGTGCGACAGAGATAACGCTCTACGAGCCGAAATTAACCGATTGTCTCTTTCCAAAGGTCGATGTGCAATATTTATTGCCGGGTATTGTAAATGGGTTTTAAACGATGCAAAAATACACATTATCTGGGAAGGTTAATACACTATTTATGAACTCACCGGCATGTTAGTATTAAGAACAAAGTGGAACTTGACATTAAAAATATTATTTTCTACTTTCCAGGTAAATAAGTCTTGCTCCAGCCCCTGGCACGCCCGCGAGGCTCTGGCTTGTACTTTACCGCCGCCGGCCGGTAAGCGTATATTTGTTTAGCCCGGACTAGCACGCGTCGCGGTGACGTCACTCCAATACGCACGGGCGGACGTCATTCCCGGACCTGTCACTTTGACAGCCGTCAAGGAATGCGCACGCGTCACCGAGGACAGTCGGCAATGTCGTGACGGTGTCCATAGGACTATTCGCTTCAGTATCGCTGGTAAATGCAATGAGATTACGGACTTAGCCGCGGGTACAATACGGGTTTGTTCACATTTTCTGTCAACTGTCACTTTGATGCCAGCTTTTTATACTTTTTGGTAAATATTGTGTTGGGGAAGTACGATTTTGACCCTTATATAAATCAATATTATATGAAATAATCCTATCCAATCAGGACACTAAAATCAAAATGAAAGTTGTGAGAAAATGTAAACAAACTCAACACAACTGTCAAGAGTGGACACAAGCTTTGTATTAGGACACGGATGCATTTGCGCGATAAGAAATGTGTATGAAACCTCTTCAAAGACTCTTTCGCTTGGAAGCACAGAGGCGCTCTCGGACTAGTGCGGTGGTAATCGGTACTAATTCTGATGCAACCGATACAATTGTATGGCAGGAACTCTATCTGTGTACATTTCACGGGCATTTGTCAATACACATCCAGTTTCTGTAGGTCTGAACTAAAACGTAGATTTTCTTTACATCAAATAATAAAAAAGTGTTAATTAAATGAAGTGCTCTCTTGATATGTTTAAACAAAATGTACTTAATTTACAATGTACCTAAGCCCGTAATGCATTATTGGATAACAGATGTTAACAGATTGCTCAAAATGTATTAATTAAATAACTCGCATCTGCTATATTTTTCCTATGAATAAAACAATACTCAAACGCTTTAAGCATCTCCTCATATTTTTAGCTAATTGTGCCCCCTTTCCATTGCTTTAAAATTTACAGAAAGTACCTCAAAATGATTTATTTCCTCAACAAATTTGAACTTTAACTCAATTGAGTAAATTACTTATTTTGTTAATAACGTCTAACTTTTTCATCAGCCTATTAGAAGCTGGATGGTATTACGCCAATGTTGCTAACACTGCAGTACTTTTACTAAACACGCGTCAGATTAATGTCTTTACGATAAGTTACTGTTCGGGACATTTAGCAGCTAAACAAACACAGTGTATATGAAACATATCTGTAAAACATTCATTCAAGCTTTGTCACTCGACGGCGTCATGTACTCGAATATAGTTTGCGTCGATCATACGTTCATATTGTGATATAAAAGTATATAAGCTTGTTATATAGCCTTTTAAAATAATTTTCAATCTGTTCAAATGTCCCTGACTCCTGAATAGGTCAATGTCAAACATTTCCATTAAGCTATGGTGAAACGAAACGAATATAAGTTGCGATACTTTCCTATTCATATAATTACTTTAATGTTGTTTACGATATTAAATAAGTATTTATTTAGATAGTTACGAGGCGGCGCGTTTTCGTCCCAGTATACATTGTTATTCGAACTTTTTAATTTGATTGTGAACTCTATGGAAGTGATAGAGAGTGATGAGTTCAGATTGAAAAGTTTGAAATGTTTGAAGGACAGACGGACGCGCGGAGATTTAGTTATTGCGAAAGGATACATAATATGTCACCTGAGATTTAAGTGGTTCCGTAAAATAATGTGATCTTCTGTGAAGACTGCGTGCAGTGATCGAAACATGTTTATGCACAATGAAGTCACTATTTGTACAAACCGTCAAAACGTATGGGTATTATAATATGTATGTGTAATGTTTATTTGCTCATAATTATATGTATAGCAAACTTATGTGAATAAATTCATCACCCGATTCTAATTGGATTGTAATGGTGACCTTTATTGTGTTTTGTGGCGGTTGAATTTATTTATTGAAATATATTTAGCACTTTTTTAAATATTTTTATGTCCCGATTCATATTATGAAAGATGTATTGATAAAGATGTTCGTACGTTTTACAGTGTATTTTGTAAAGATTGGATTTTGTTCACATGTGGTGCAATACAGAACATTCCAAACGTGGTTTGGTGCTTATTATTTTAGTAAAATTATTTAATAATACCCGATGGAGTTTCATTTTACATAACTTGCCTGCTCGCTCTCTTCTAAATTGAATTTACGGTTAAAGCATTAAAGGTCACTGTTATTTCACTAGTCCAATTATTTACTGCATTCTCCATATTTAATTTTGAAACAAAGTAAAGAAACCTGCAAATGTACTTAAATCAGAAAGAGCCCTACAAGTACATACTTAGCTGATTCTATAAACCATGGCACATTATGTGAATTCCCCTACAGCTAGTATTTATAATTAATAAAATAATCTTGGGATTTGTATAACTTATTAACGTTGTAGTTTAGGTATTGAATAATTTTAACATTATTAAATGATAATGTTGGCTTTTGTTTACACTTATTTAGATCATTATTATTGGCAGCTATTTTTTCTTGTATTATTACATAGTTTTGAAATTACGATCATTGTCCACTTAAAAAAAAAGCAAACAGTATTATTATTACCTAAAGTGTTTGAATTAACTGTATTATTCTATAATAGTTTAATTAAATATGGTCATCTAAATCTCGAAAGGCCCTCAACTTCATTCCAAGATTATATAAGTACTTCTTATTTTGCACAGAAAATGAATCATTATAATGACTAAATAAGTGTGCAAAAGCATTTCGATGTATAATAATCACTCATGTATATTATGAAGAATTATTGGAAAGTTTTGATATGAAATATTTGTACGAGTTATTAACGAGGTACGCGCTAAAGCACGGTAATACTATCTATACAGTATTCCAACTCGGCCATATTTTTGAAATAAATGTCAACAGCCCCGCGGTACGTCACGGTATGACAACATGCGATAGGGCTGCTCACCTACAGTACCCATTCTAATTACATCTGTCTACTTAGAATTTCTATCTAGTATTGTGATTGTATTTTTTTTTTATTTAGACAAACAAAATACTTTTTGAATGGAATAGGATAAAAATGCGTGTTGTTTTGTGGTTAGTAGATTTAATTTAAAAAAATATACTAAAATAATTTTGAATCTACTAATCATAATGACCGGTTACTTTAATTTCAGGCGGGTGAAGTCGTGGGCCAAAGCTGGTTTTAAATACAATATAATTTTCATTTCAAATCAAACTGACTGAAAATGACCATTTCTGACAGTTAATGACTAGGTAGTTTTTGAAAAATTTGACCGTTTAAGACGGTAAGTCAAATTCAATCAACTTAGTCATTTTCAACACTAGGCCATCGACGTCCGTTCGGCACATTCGCGACACCCCTAACTTTTACTTTCGACCGCGTACCGAAATTTGAAATTCGAAGGAATGCTCGCGTTTCGTCGGTTTATATGAAGTTACAATACTGTATGATATTATTACCGTGGCTAAAGGCTGGTGGAATGTCTATTTTTGTAACGGGGTAAGTTAGGTGGCTAAAATGCATAATTTATAAACACTTAATCTTAGATGTATACTTATTGTAGGTTGTTTCTCGACGCCATGTTAATGAGGCATTGATAGAACTAGAAAAATTGCTAATTTTGTTACATCAACGTAAAATCGCACTTACTTGTTTAGCACAAGTGCCAAATTAACATGGCCGCTTCTATACGTATGGAATATAAATTATTATTCAGTTATTTTTATATACAATGAATATTAACCACACAAAAAGCATAATGGCATATTGTAAAGATTGTCACCTTCGGCATAGTTTTCTAAAGACCCGTAAGTTTCGCTCACATAAATTAATATTGTATTTTAAACTTTTTATACTAGTCAAAATATCAGTTTTTAATTACATTTTCTTTCTGTGATATGTGTTTTTATATAGAACAAAACGTCTCTTTTTATGTATTAGCCACTTATCGTCCTCAATAGACATAAAGTAATAAAAAATAGGATAATATTAATAATACAATAAAAATATAATTTAATGCCCGATTTGTTCGGGGTACGAATGTAACGATTATTATTTTTTTGTTTTGTTGTTTTTTTATTTAACTTAATATTTGTGAAGCATCAAAAATGGCACATTCTCTTTTTAAAGTTGTTTATCATCACCGATTAAAATTAAAATGACAGGAACAGTTTCAAGGGCGTTAAGCCTGTTGGTTGTATGAGCGAATACCTACATTGTTGATCCAGCAGTCTGCGACTGCTATCTAAAGCTTATAGTGATTTAATATTAGATTCTCAATCGATAGTTTTTGTTACGCTTCGCAATAGAATAGATCGATATTTAATAGAACATTTTAGTTGTAAATTACGTTATTTAGCCGTCGGTTCGTTTCTGATGCAAGAAAAGGTCTCGAAAGAATACATATTTTCTAGAAAGGGCAAGTGTAAATATTGAAAAGAAATCATCGTTTTTTATGACATGAAATCCAATAAAATTGAAGTTATCGCATTCATAAACCGATAACCTTTATAATGCTAAGCAGATTTTGTAAATAATAATGATTTTTTCATATACTATTTGCCTTATGAATGCCTGAAAAGAGTTAAAACATATAAAAGGATACTGAAATGGCAGCCATGAAACGTGAAACCGACGATGCGAGTGTAATAAAAAATTTAATATGAGTAAAAGAAAAAATGTAAAAGCAGACAGTGATCTTGAGAAAACTGGTGGGTTTGAGAGTATGGTATGGAAAACCTACTGTAGGAGAGACGCTAGCGTAGCGAACAGCATTAACGGTTTTGATGGTTTTATCTTATCTCGTATCGTAAACCATTGTCACCCTGTGTAATCTCAGTACCTACGCAAAACATTTGGATTGGACCCTAGGTCTCAAACGTATTTGCTACCAGTTTAGGCGTGAAATGCCTAATACAATAACTAAATGAAAGCAAATACAGTTGTGAATTCGTACGAATTTGCCTAAAACCTCGCGCTGTAAGACATTTCTATAGTCCACATTCTCTCAATCTGTGGATAGTTAGATGGTAGTTATTTAAGTCTCACTGTTCATGCTGTTCGCTATGTTGGGGCTCTCGTGTATCTCTTATGTGCCCTAGATAATGTAACGATCGTTAATTGAATCAATTACCAGAATAATTGTGTAGAAAGCGTAAAATTGACTGCGGAATAATGTTTGTCTTTGCCACTCCGCTAAGTTAGTATAGCGCCATCTGGGCCAACGTAAACGTACTAAGTATATCAAAATCGCATTCGATAACCACATTTTGGTGCCCGTTATGAAAGTGAAACGAACTTTCGCTTCGTTGCGAAGTTACATTGTCTACAGGCACAGTTCACTTCAACTTCCACACTCGCCTCTGTAAATAGTGTTTCTTTACAAAGGTAACGCAGTGTTATTTGCCTAAACGTTATATTGTAGCCTACAATGTTAGAGGTTTATTAATTCTAAGCTTTTTGGCGACATTGTACAGAGAATTATTCAAATAAATTATCAACCAAACTGTTCTGATCAAGATGGTCTTGTTATTTTTTCATATCTTCGAACCAATGCTGTATCTTTCCAAGTCATAAATATTTACTAAATATATTCCGAAATCAGAAGAACTGCAGATTTTTATAAAGTTGAAATCGGGATCATCGGGATAGTTTCTCTGTTCTCTCACTTCTCTCATGGATAATCTCTTCTTACTTTGCTCTATGATCTCTTGTTCTTTTTTGATGTTGGCAATACTCATCGAGGCCGACGAATGGATTGGAAGACGGAAGTTGCCCTTTGTTCAGTGTTCGTTCGTTTCAGCCGAAAGACGTCCACTGCTGGACAAAGTTCTCCCCCAAGGATTTCCACAATGTAATCAGTGATTATATTTTTTTCTAGATACCTATAACAAGATAAATTACTGATTATCGTAGTAACTTAGTGGTAGAATACTCGCTGCTCAACTTTTTCGTACTATTATAGTAGTTTATTTTTATAAAATCTTGAATCGGTATAGTAAAGTATTCCTTTGCTGATTTTTTATAAAAGATGTAATTTACAGCTGTCAGTGTAACCGTCAATGTGACATTTGGCTGTCATGTCATTGACATTTGTCATTGTGGCGGATTCGGTGATGGAGGGAAGCTGTGTTGGCTGCTTTCAGTAGTTTTTATTTTGTGACCGATTTAAATTGTATTGTTAGGAAAAAACGTGATGAGTGCAACAGGAGGTGATTAAGTTCAGCTCGTGTGTAAATTATATAATCGCGGGTTATACTGTGCGTGGCGTGATAATCTATAATTAGTTTTTTCATGTCTCCAGTGAAATTGTTGGTGTTATGATCGATAGTTGATTTCGAGTGATAATATGGGGCAAAGTCCGAGTTCGGTGAGGAGTAAGAGCGGCCGGCAGAGGTCGTTCAGGGGTTTCGTGAGGAAGAACAAGTTGAACAAGTCTAGTTTGAGTCATACGTTTAGTTTGCCGCCGTCTGAGGAGTACCCTGAGTTGATGAACGTGAACACGGCGACGGAGGAGCAGTTGATGACGTTGCCAGGGGTGAACCGGCAGCTGGCGCGGGAGATCGTCCGCCACCGGCAGATGATCGGCCGCTTCAAGCGAGTTGACGACCTCGCTCTCGTCTCAGGTACCTAACTGATCTATTCGCAAATGATTACGTGTCTGTCTTTGTGTTTACTAGATCACGATGATAATATAATCAATCTGACTCAAATCAGAGTTGCTACCTACTTGATAATAACTCACAGATGCAAGCCTTGTTATGACAAAACAAAGATATCAATTTGTGGCTAGAAAGTAGATTTATCTAGCTCTAGATAATTTATATTATTATTTAATATTGCTTAACAAATAGGCGCTGCTTAATTAATAATTTAAACATAATTATGGACAACATAAACCAGTCAAACAAGGCTGACACAATAATTGACTTCAGTTGTTAAGAACCACATAATTATAGTCCAATTAAAGTCATTTTAGTTTCAATTAGATATTTAGCAGGTATAGTTAAATATTAAACTAACATGATACATAGTTTGTTGCTAGCACTGTTTTTGTTTACAAACAACACAAATATTGGTATTCACCTTGGAACTTGGTATAAAACTTCTGATTGCCTGCCATATACAATTTTTACAAGATTTGAATATAATAATTTTAATATACAAACCTTTTGAGTGGCAAGTTCATTGAAAGCTACAGTCAAAAATAATTATTTCACAGCCTTAAAAAATAAGATTACTGTCTAATAGCAGTCTTTAGAATACACTTAAATTGGTAGTAAAAAGGAGAGAATTACAATAGGTTACTTTGTATTTTTTTTTGTTTCAATTTTTGTTTTGTTTTGTGGTTTTATCATGCGATTAGTCTTTAAAAACTATAAGCAGATGAAGTGAATTCTTTTCATCATTTAGTTTTTGGTTTGTTTCAATTAGATTTTAAACTAACAAATACATTTTAGGTATTGGAGCTGAAAAACTGGAGTTGTTAAGACCAGAGATATGCACGAACACTCGGAGACAGCTGTCCAGAGCAAGTTCCTGCACTCATTCCTTAGACAGTGTCCGTCTCAACAACGAAAGCAAACTCTGTTCCGTCAACTCCTCCAGTGTATTCCAACTGCAGTGCGTACCTGGCCTCAATCAAGAGCTAGCAGCTAATATCGTCGACTACCGCAACAAAAAAGGCCCATTCAAATCCTTAGACGATTTAATAAAAGTCCGAGGAATGGACATTGTGAGGTTGAGCACAGTGAAGCAACACTTGAGTCTGGAACCACGTAAATGCGAAAGTGCACAACAGTTAAATGGCTACGCCAACGGATGGAGAGATCCGTCAATAAACGAATCTTTATCTTATGGGGCTACAAGCACCCCGAAGACACCGCATAGAAAGAGTTTATCAATGCCAACAAAGTTTTTAGTGACGTTACCAAACGGGTTTGCTGCGGCTCCTGTGAATGATATATTAGATTTACTCTCGGCGTATTCACATAGGCCTGTGGTCGAAGAAGTGTTCACGTATGAGAGGGACGGTGTGAAGTGTTGCCGTCTCGCTTCATGGAACCTGCACCAGCTGAGCGTAGATAAAATTACTAATCCAGGAGTCAGGGAAGTGGTGTGTAGGACTATTTTGGAAAACAAGTGAGTTCTTTTTATTTTTATATTGTTTTTTTATGTTAAAGGCATAGAGGAGAGTGCATAAAGACCAGTATAAAAGTAATCAAAATCAAATGTATTTGGACTAATTCAATGAGTACTTGCTAATTATAGCCTGACCAGGAACATAAAAACCCTCGCCATGTTGCGGAAAACTAATGGTACTAATTTCTTTTAATGGCAACAGTAACTGAAAACTTCATTGACATGTCACCTTGCATGTCAGTCTATTGCTGTCAAAGTGTAAACAAACTTTATTTTAAATGTGCGCAATTGGTTTTATGAATTGAATTGCTAAAATATTTTTATAGTCGTGAAAGAAAAGTGGTTCACAATGTGTTAAAGTATTTGTCGAAGTTCTCTTCGTACAGAACAGTATTTCTATACTAAGGGTTCGGACAATATTTTCATTGAATAATGTTTCCGACAAAGGTTGTCAAATTGACTGACATGTTTATCGTATAGTACAGTCCACTATGAAAATTAGCTGTGGTTTGTTTCAACTACCTATTTTAAAAATTTTGTCACTTTCTAAGTGTTGAATTTTATAGGATTGGGAAAGAAGTACCGAGTTTGAAGAGTTCATGAGCAGACATTGCAGTTGAATATTCAAGTTCTGAATTTGATTATTGATGAATAATAAAATAAATCTACTAGCTCGGTTGATGGTTTCATTTAATTTATTAAAATCAGGTTACCTATAATAATATTTTTTCGTTAATTTATGAAAATATCAAATTAGCCCGTAATCCTGAATCCTGATACATAAAGTTAGCCTATTAATTTAACACAGGTACGACTGTACTCAGTGTTGCACTATCAAATGCAATTGAAGCGCCTCTATGCCAGGGTTTTTATGTTCCTGGTCAGGCTTTACCAGACTATCGTAATGTTACAATTAATATTGTTATGTCATTAAAATATTTATTTCATAGTTAAAATATTTTATGATAACATTGCCATTGCAGTGTTGAGTTGAACACATTTGCATCATACATTTCCCATACCAGAAATAACTCATTAGCTTTTTAAACAATTTAATGCTAATGTAATAATCAAAGATTTTATACAATTTTATGGCCATAAATACAGCAAACCTGCATAATTATCTGGTGCTCTAATATAGAGGATATTTATCATATCAATGCAAATCGTTGTTCTCAGAAATAAATTGATAGTACCTATCAAACTGCTGTTTTATCTTTTATCGTATTATTTTTATTTCTTATCAACAGTCTCACATTGTGGGTATTACTTTAGGTTCAATTTCATGTCAGAGTTCAGGTTTTATTTATTCAGAATCTGATAAAAAATCCTCTTATGCACTCTATTGATAAAAATGAACTTTCTTATTTCATATAGCCAAACTATATGAAATAAGAAAGTTCATTTTATCCAAAAGGCGACCACTGCTTGACAAAGCCTTCCCATAGGATTTCCACAAGGACCGGTCCTTCGCTGTCCACATTCAGGTGGCTTCCGCGACCTTCACTAGATGGTCAGTCCACCGAGTAGAAAGCCTGCATAATGCACATAGCTATAGATGTATAACGTTTTCCGATTCCGATTTCCCGGCCCGTGGTCGCAGCTTGAGAACTTTTTGTCCCAACAACGGCCATCATTTCTACGAGCTTTGTGCTCTGAAAAATAAGGTATATATTTTTTCATCCACGAAGACGCGCCCCACCATTCTTCCGCTAATATTTGAGTGTTATCGGTACACGCTAAATTATCCATGAGTGCACACGCATACTACAATTGGATTGCTCGGATCAAACGCCCCGCACCCCGCGCTTCCCTCGACCAAAAATTGGTGGAGCGCGTCTTCGTGGATGAAACAATCTATAAAAGTACAACCTATTTACAATCTTCGTCTTGTTGCAGACTATCGATAATAGCCATACAAGACGTGTTAGAGGAGGCGGCCTTAAAGATGATATGCGATGAACTGAACTCTCCAGTATTACGGCGCGTGCGCGAGTGGAGAAGCAATAGTGCGCACTGGCAGTACTGCTTATCTGAAAGGCTAGACAAGTAAGTAACCTTCTTATCTCGCAGAAAATTCATTATCATCATCATAATCCATTATCATCGTCATTTCAGCCACAGGACATCCATTGGAATTGCGAAGTTGAACCTTAACTTCGAACTCCTCCTATGTTCTGAAAAATTTCCTTGCGAGTCCAATGACATTTTAATTTTCCCCGAGACAAACTTGACTTTCACTGGTTGGGATTTTTTGGCAGTCAAGCTATAGATCCTGACTGCACAGAAGTTGCACAGCGGTGGGAACGAGAGGTAGGAATAGTTTCGTTTAGGACATCCATTGCTGAATATAGGCCTCTCCCAATATTTTCAGATTGGCCAATTACTAGTGGCCTGCATCCAGATTCTTCCTGCTTCTACTACCTTTACGAAACTTGCTACCTTTACGAAAATCTATTACACGTCTATTATTACTGGAAATGATATTGAAATGTTCGATCAACCAAACAAGCGACTGATATGGCATGTAAACACTTGACCACGACTTTTTGTGGCGATTGGTGTCGCGTGACCTCATTTATTAATTCTATTTATTTTCCTGCCTTTCGTCCCAAATAAAATAAAGTTTCGATGTTTCCAAATTCATGAATATGAATTTAAAATAAAATTATAATAAAAATATACTTTTTTAAAAACAAGCATTTATTCTGAATTTCGAAAGCTTGTATCGCGCATGGAATTTATTCCTCTTTTTCTCTGTTTGCGCTACAAGCTTTCGAAATTCAGAATAAAAGCTTGTTTTTAAAAAAGTTTATTTTTATTATAATTTTAATTTACACTTTTTAGTTATATCTTAATCTCAGGACCCTGGACATTATCTAACACTAAAGTGCTCGAAAAGACAAATCCAACGAATCCAAACTCGATGAGTTTCCGCTGTTTTGTTTAGGAGTTCCTATGGCCACCTCCCGACTCCATCATCAGACGAGCTCAATGGTACCATAATATTGCATTGTCATCGTACTTACATAAGTGTACCAAATTTCAGCTCAATTGGTTGAGGAGAACTGGTCTTAAATTCAGTTGCAAGATTTGTCCCACACATACTAACAAGTGAAGTCAATATAAAGCTTGTAAAAAGCTTGTAATAAAAAGAGAGATGAGATGATGAAATACTTTTTTTCCGAGAATTCACGACTATCTTTTTGATAAGTTAAGAGATAAATATTTTTGTGACAAACTGAATTCACGCAGAGGAAGTCACGACAAAAAACCTATACTAGGGTCAAGGTAGCAGAAAAATTCACGCATCGAACAACGAGATGTGATTAAACTTTACATAACGCGAATGTTATTGAAATAGGTTTTATGATAATTACTTAATTGTTTTTTGTTTCTTTATTACTGCGATAGCGTTTACAGCGATATGTAATCATGATGATGTTTTCTTGTCTAGATTCTGACTAAGAAAGAGTATGGTAGACAAGTCTAAGTTAATTATCACTTGTATGGCTTACACATACAATACCTCGAATGTTACAATGTAAATTGACGATATTTTCGTTTTTGGCGATTAGTTTTCAAGAATTGGTACTTAAACGAGGTAAACGAGGTGTAATAGAAAATTTCAATTATTGATTGTACAGATTTTATCTACGATCATTGAAGATAATGCAGTACTGTATGTTAGTTAACTAACAAGCACCCTATACAGCGAATTGTTTCTAAAATATCCATGTTAAGATTATTTTACTCTTTCAAGTGTGGGAAGCGCGAAAGTATAAATAAACAACAGCTCCTGCTGTTTTGATTGGGCATCATATTATAATCACATGAGACGATTTCAGTTGAAATAACCGTTTCGTACACATCATTGTATTCTGTTCTTATATTCTCATCGATCGAAAGTGCCATTTTAAATCATGTGAGCCTTGACGAAGACGATTTTTAATGACGTAACATGTCTAGATATCTTTAGGTGCAGTGGCGTAGCTTGGGGGGGGCAGGGGGGGCCATGGCCCCGGGCGGCATATGAAAGGGGGCGGCGGATAAAAAAAAAACATTGCATGAACAAGAAAAAAAAGTTATTCCAAATCGCGTCGTAATATGTTACGTACCGATAAAGCGAAACGAAACGCACAAGACGTGTGCGCAAGAGAGGACGATAATCGCTTGGTCGGCGCGCGACTGGCTCGCTCGGCCGCTACTTACCCCTCTAAAACTTGCGCCACAGATAATCTTTCGTGATTTCTCTTGTTACAAACCGAAATAAAAAAGTGGTTTGTAAATAGTTAAAGCCATATCTAAGCTACTTTTAAAACCGTGTATTTATTATATTCTGCAAGTTCGAAATTCAAAATTAGCTAAAATGGTAACTTTTAGCAGTAATTAAATCTGTAACATGCTGCAAATATCTAATGAATTCAAACAAATTATTTTAAAAAATAGCTTCGATACATATTATACATTTTTCAAACCACTTTTTTAATTTCGGTCTAAATATAACAAAAGTAACCAAGAAAAAATATGGTGGCGCTGGTTAGCTAGGGTGTACAATTGTACATAGTTACTTCGATGTAGTATTTACTTCGGTTAGCTAGGGTACAAGTGTACAACCCTTAATAATACACTCAGCGGCACGAAATTTGGCCCAAGCCTAAACACCCAGATATGAGGCCAAATAGGTGTTGTATGTAATTTAAGTGGCTAGATAAATTATGGAAACGAGAATAACCCTAAAATTAATTTAAAAACAAAAACAAAACGCCAAACCCTTACAAACATTTAATATCGAATTTAAACTTACCCGTACTCTTTACGCTCCAACAACGAAATGCGTTTCTAGAGTCAAAAAAGTTAAACAGACGTATTTTTTTTTATTAATCTAGCCTCTTAAATTAACAATAACAAATGTTCTGTTAACATGTCACACGAAACTTAGGTATACAACACCTATTTGGCCTCATATCTGGGTGTTTAGGCTTGGGCCAAATTCCCTGCCGCTGAGTGTATTAAGCACATGTTGTTCCTTCTAAGTTCAATGAGCACTATATATTAAGATAATAACTCTCAATTGACAAATAAATACTTTAATACTTGTTATTATTGTTTATTGTTATACACCGGGTCCTAGTGTTACATAATAAAGCTGAGCTATTTAAGAAAATCAAACTTCCTGTGGGTTTCAAGCAATTGCTTCTCTTTAATGTATTTTCCTTCTGAAGCAGTGCGTGGTAGTTTATTTTGACTTTCAACAAATAAGGTGAATAGTGTACCTGAAGTCCATTCAATATAATATTTAAACTTTAAAATATTTATAATTAAAATAAAGGGCGGCGGATTTCCGGACGGCCCCGGGCGGCGAAAAGCCACGCTACGCCACTGTTTAGGTGTTTCTGACCTTGTTTAGTTCGTTATGTCAGCTAACTAATTCCGGTTAAGAAATAATTCTGAATTTACTTACTTTGCTTTTCGTTCATTCTTCTGAATCGTTTGAATAAGTGCGGAAATTGCCAAGTTACGGCTTATGTACTATCGTTTAGAAATTCTACTGGAAAAAGCATCTTACCATTCAGCAGTTATTGATTCGGCAGGTATAATATAATAAAGCAATAAATGCGTTACGTACATAGACAGTGTTTTCCTCATTAATTTGACTGAGAAGCGAACCCACCACCGCTGCAATCCACTAGACCACGGAGGTGTGCCATGAAAGTACATAGAAGCGGAAACGGCAGTAACAAATACGGTCGGAATACTAAATACTAAGACGACTCAAATCACCGCTAGCCGCTCGTATCCGATGCCACCAGTCCCTAGAAAGAAGGCCGGCAGGGCGCACCGTTACGGGCTAAGCCAGGAAGACATAATCCAATTAAAAATTATGTTTCCTCTATGTAAACGATGGTTGTGGACTATGAGGGAGCAGGGCAGGGCTACTAATGAATGAAACTCACAATAACACTTCACTAAACTTTATATTGCACAAAAGAGCACTTTTCTCATCAAGTAAAATCGAAACACTGCCATATTGTCAAGAAACAATATCAAACAAAAACAATAGAAAATTCAAACATTCTAAACATAAATACAAAAATAGAAAAGTAAAATATAATAAAAAATAAATAAATCTAAAAGAGGTCTGTCGCCAACACTCTAAGTATAAAAGCCGTTGGTAGCTAAGACTAGAATTAGGACCCCTAACTAACCCCTGACTAAGGCCCAGAAAACACCAGCTTGAAACCGGTTTGAAATGGTCGCGTCACGTGTGGTCTCTCAACGGAATCTATGGCAGAAACTTAGATGCAACTCAAAAGTAACTAGAAGTTGCAATTTCGTTGCAATTGCGTTTCACCATGTGTTCTGGGCCTTAAAGACACACATGCATCCCAAACCCCGCATGGAAAATGTTGGCCAAATCCTCCATTGAAATCTAAGCCATGTTTCCTATCATTCTGGTGGGTAGAAGACTTCAAAACTACTAGACTGATTTAAAAAAGCAGTTGGAAGAGCAGTCGCCCGGCAAGCGGAAAGTCGTGGTTGTGGTCGTGGGTTCAATTCCCGCCTTAGGCAGTTCGATTTTTTCAAGTAATTTATAATTTTCAAATTGATTTGAAAAATTCTTTCACCATTGGAATCCTACATTACTAATGAACGAATACGAAGTTCACTGGGTCAGCTAGTTCATAGCATACATAGGTACTTACTATAATATGAGTTTCCGTCGCCTGAAAGCAACGACTTTTTGGCTTGTCATCGGACGTTCCATTAGCGGTTACCGGCGATGGCTCGGAAAAATGGGGGACACTTTTTCACTAGACCATAAACGTGTCATTACATGCATTATGACGCTCCATTGCCACAGCGGGCAGTGGAAAAACACCTAATATTTTATGTAAGAAGATACTATGTTAAAAGAAATGATATCAGTATGTTTAATAATAGAATCGGAGAAATCATTGTCATCGTCACCAGATCCAAATTACGGCATAGGTGTATAAATAGTTTTCCTTATTTTGTTACAAATGCACTTCAATCATTGTTCCGCTACTGTGTACAGGAAATGTAGTGATTTTCCGGCTTTTTATATGACTTCACGGCTAAATGTATTCTGGTTTTTATGTACTTGTTATGTTTTTATTGTGGATACTAAACTTGTCTCTACAAGTAGGTATATTTAACGCAACCGTAATACGTTTAAAATTATGCACGAAACTATATTTCTTTGATGGAAAATTGAGATGATGCAGGTTCGCACAGATCTTATACCTACTTCAGCTTGATTGCATTGTGTGTTCAGGAGTTGAACAGCGGAATTCCAGAACTCCAAATTATACCAGCACTGACAATTATTCATTCATATCATTAGCGCCATTGCACGTGTAAAATGCACACTAATTTTAAAAGCTACTTAAAGCAACTGTGTCAGTTATCTCCTGATAAGGCTCTAGTATCAAATTAACTGCCCGCGTTAGCAGATAACGCGAACAGCTGTTATTTTGCGAGAGATTGTCGCATCGACCCGTCTGGACAAATAACTGCAGTGTAATCGTTAATAAAACAAAGATGAACGAAGTAGTAGACTTAGTTAAACACTGTCTGAAAGATGACAGCTCCATCTGTTTGACTTTTTGGCACGATAACCGTTTTGTGTCAGATTGCCGATTCGAGAGTCGGTAGTTCAAACCCCCACGTCACTGGATGGACTATAGTGGTTAACCCACTCCTTTATTTGGACAGGTTAGACTCCCCGCAAACCACAGACTTTTTGTCGGCCGATAGTTTGGTCGGGCTGTTGAGTATGAATGAACATGGAAGTGCGCACATTACGCCGATTTGGTATTGGGCCGATTCTTCATACAAATTAGAATCGGGCCCAACTGAACTGATTTCGGTCCAACTATAAGTAATTAAGTATTTAGAGATTGTGCCTTCGAAGTATTGGTTGTCTGTTACTCGATTTTTTTATGAAGTGTTTAGGTTCCTAAGTACCTACTTATTTTTTATTTGTTGCACGCACGAAAACTGACAGGGCAAGAACTATTTCTGATAACCAGTTGCATTAGAAATTATAAGATAAACTGCATTTTATTTTTATGACATACCTAATGTCATAAAAATTTACCTAATGTAATAAATTTTACCTAATGTAATAAAATTTCATTATTATGACATACCTAAATGACAGATTCCAGTCGGTTGAAATTACTCAACTGAATAATAATAAAACTATTCAGGCTCATAGATCAGAATTCAAAACTAACAAATTTGGAGTGCCACAAGGTAGTATATTAGGCCCGCTGCTATTTCTAGTCTATATTAATGACCTCCCATACTGTATTGACCATAAATGTATTCTTTTTGCTGATGACATATCAGTGATAGTGACAACGAATAAAAAATGTAATATACTTGACCACGAATATGACATAAATAAAACATTAATGACAATTGTTAACTGGCTAAATTCTTATAATTTAAAAACAAATATTGACAAAACATGTTACATAAATTTTAATAATTCTATACAAAATATGAACATAAGTTATCAGGGACAAGTACTCAAACATGCAAATAGTGTTAGATTTCTGGGTATAGAAATAGATAATAAATTAAATTGGAAACAACATGTAGACAAGGTTTGTAATAAAATTAACAGATTTTCATTTGTTCTGTACAAATTAGTAAAAACAGCAACAAGGACAACAGCTCTCACAGCCTATTTTGCATATGTCGAATCAGTGCTTCGTTATGGGCTGATTATCTGGGGAAACAGTACTGATTTGCAAAGGGCATTTATAGCTCAAAAAAAAATGTGTTAGGGCAAAATGTGGTATAGCACCGGACCATTCATGTAAGCCACTATTCAAGTCTTTGAACATCCTACCATTACCCTGTCTATACAGGGTGTTAGGTAAATGGGTATATGAGCCGACACTAGCCCATGTTAACATGGTCATATAAATGGTATGGTGAAGTTAGATATTTGATATTATCATTTTATTTTTTTTAATTTTCATACAAAATAAATTTTATAAAATCCGATTTGTATGAAAATTAAAATAATTAAAATGAAGATATCGATTTTCTGACTTCACCATACCATTTATATGACCATGTTTACATGGGCTAGTGTCGGCTCATATACCCATTTACCTAACACCCTGTATATGTATACTTGAAGCTGCAAAACTAGTTAAACAAAACCCTTATCTTTTCAAAAAAGCCAAAGACGTTTTCCCACGTAATACCACAGAATACATAATAGTAGCAACAGAAATTGCACTCCTTTGTGTAGGATCAGATGCCGACATTTTAACGGTAATAATAATAATGCAAAATATCCAACGCACATGGTGCATTCGAAATCGCACCTTACTACTACGCTCACAAGAGCGCATTTTTTTTGTGTTTAGAATTGATCTACGTCACCGCTCAAGCGTCAGGGTTGTATGAGCAAAGTAAAATAAATAAAAACTTAATTTTAAGAAGCAAATATTGTATTTACGATTAGAAAACTTTAATCTAGTGGAGTTTGTATAATCGTACCATCTCTAAAGTACCTATTAATAAACTTCAGTGTTGCGATAATTCGAAATTAAACAAACAGTTTTAAAAGGTGTAGTGTCGGAAAATAGACACGGTGAAGTAAAGTTAATGTTTTTATTAGCTAAAATAATTGTTTAAAAACTATATTTTTTGTCATAAGTATTTCAAAATAATTTATTATTTAAAAAGTGTAGTTTTTTTATTTATTATTTAAATCACTACAGTTAATTATTATTCCTAAATATTACAATTTTTCATTAAAGAAGAATAACAGTGCTGTTGGAACAATAAACCTTGATTGCGACTATGATCGACCGAGCGTGTATAGATACGCGTGTCCAAACAGGCGCGTGGCGGCCCGGACTGATTTGCAACTTGAAGTTGTCGCGCGCTGTAGGTAATTATCTCGGCCGGCATAGGCGAGTGACGGAGGCCTGGTAATACTAGGAATTGCAATAGACTAGTCCTTGAGTTCATCCCTAAAAGTACTCGTATTCAAAAAAACTGTTTCTGCATGTGTGTCCAAATCTATAATAAACTTCCTCAAGATATTAAAGAACTGTCCTTTAATCAGTTTAAGACCACATTGCAAAAGTGGCTTGTCGCGCGATTATTCTACTCTCTCCAAGAATTTTTAAGCTATAGGGAATAATCAGCAAAAAGTAATACCGTAATAATTATATGTAATATTTCTTCGATATATTTGCATGCTATTGTTGATGGCTGGATAGGTGATCATATTTTGTTATTTTCGACCTTCTGTACACCCTATTCAAAGACAAATAAATATTTCTATTTCATTATGAACATGATGTGATATTACTATCATGTACATAAGAGATTATGGCATGTAGTCATCATACATAAAAGTTACTATAAAAGAAGTTCGTCATACAATAGGATATATTATTCTGTGATCTCGGTTACTGAGTAAGACAGGAACCGATAAACAAAAATATTTATTTACTAAGTAAATAATGATGACCGCATACAATGTCACAACAAATGAATCATAAAATGTTATTTTACGATAAGTAGGTAACATCGGTAATTGTAAAATACCCTCTTCTTAGAGGTCTTTCTTTGCGTAGAAATTAAAAATAGATTAGATGTTAAAGTGAAATGTATGTTGTCTATAATGCCAAAATGTTATTTTGCTTCTAGAACTTATTTCTTGGAATATCATTATACCCAAAACTCTCTTTGATATAATTCTCTAAACTTACATAAATGCACTCCTTTTCTGGTTTTAACTTTGAACAAACAAATGTAGTTATGTGCAAGTCATATTGAATTTATTTTCTTGAACAGTTCATTCACTTAAAAATTGTGTTTTTTCTATTCCACCATTCCCCCCATAAAACCTCCTGTAAAATTGTTTCAGACATTCATTACATTACTTATGAATGGTATTTTGTATAAGCGCCTATATGTACATTAGCCGTACCGCCCATACAAATTGCTAGTTACTGTACTGTAAATAAAGTATTCATTTAACAACTCAATACAACCGGTTTTCTGTGCCGATCGATTTTCGTAATTATTTAATGCGGTATTAACGACCATTAAGCACAGTCTACGTGAAATCAGAATACACATTTTTACCCAGAAACCTCAACCACAGAGGAACTTGCTATTCTCTGGCTATCTGGCTATCTCCAACTGCCGAAAACATTATAATATTTTGGAAGGCCGTATTCTAATCTTCTTCTTGTAGTGTCGACAACAAACCTACACAGTGTCAGCCCAAAACTCCGCCAAAAGAGTGGCGTTGTCAGCAGCCTTCATTAAATCTTCCTTCGTCGACTGGGGAACAAATCCACACTTGCACTCCAAGTTTGAGCCATCCAAGAATCCCCATCTCAACAGATTCTAATTCTTTTTATACCTACGATTATTTTCTTTGTTGCAGCCAATACTTAGGGTTCATATTCGAAGCAACGAATAAGGGCATCACGATAGAAGACCTGGACCTGGACCAGGTGTCTCTACTGACCGAAGCGAGCGGCGTCCAGCGACTAGTCGACGAATTACTAGCGCTGCGGGGCGAGCGGTACATTGCGGAGTCACGGGGTAAGTCAACTGCTGGATCTAACTAAAATATAAACGTGAAAAGAAAGTGATCCTTCGAGCCGGATTAATACGAAAAGTGAACAATTGTTACGAACGTTTGTTACCCCCTTACTAATAAAAATGACTCGTTGAACAGTGTTTTAAAGTGACGCTTAGTATGGAAATGCCATTTTAAAAAAGCGTTCAACAAAGCGTGTAATTTTTGAATTAGTTAAGGGGTAAAAGTTTAATATAAAATCCGGCTCGAAGGACCAATGACAGTGGTATATAGTTAAGCAATAACCGCATTATTGCCACTTGCGTCTCTGTCGGGTAGTGTAGGTGATTGTAAATTACAATGAGAACTACAGCAAAAATTAAGCTACTAACAAGCTGTATTCAATTCTACCTACTTAGCTATAATATACCTTATGCATATTTGGTAATGGAACCTTATTGTTTTTACGCACGTAAAACACCATACACGACACGGCATTAAATGCCGAATACAAAACTTTGTATTTATATTTTTATGTAAATGCTAGCACGTTTGCCAACTCCAATTAGTGTGTCATAAAACACATTGTTTTGTTATTCAAATAACTGCAGGTATTTAGAGGCAAAAACTCCAGTAATCGAAATTAACCGTGATTGTTTTGAGCTAATCTGTAAAGAATGCGTTATAACGCGCGGTTAAAACAAAAAGAATTCGTGCAAAATCGACGCAGCGCCGGTCGTAAATGCGCCGGTGGTGCTAGCTTCAAATGAGGCAGAATGGCGACAAATTAATGACATGATACATATCACACTCATGTAGATATTTGGGCTGGTCAGAGCCGACTTACACTGGCTCTAAGCCACGATTCGAATCCGCAACCGATGTTACAGTTTGGTGATCAAACTATCGAGCGTAGCTTAACCGTCAAAAAGACATATTATTTTATAACTAGGGAAAACCCATCATTGTTTTGCTCCAATGATGATAACAGATTTAAATAAGCTATGTAGCAAGTGATCATAACAATTAAGGAATTTCCTTCTAGAAAAGCTTTTAAAACATTAATGTCGTATTACAATCTAGATAAAGCGACAGACAGCCAATTAATCAAATTACCAATGCTCAGTGACCGCGCGGTCGAAACCACACTTGGTTTGGTTGTAACTGGCTGAATATCCACAATGGACGTACAACATAGCAGGTTCTATCTGTACCATAAGAGTAGAGTAGATGTCCATGGTGTACCTTTTCTTAAAGTTTAATCCACTTTTCCAGACTTGTCCTGTTTCAATATTTTTTTTGTTGATTGTGTAGAGCAAAACACGCACTGGACGGCTTTACTTCGTTCTAACTGTCCAATAACAATTTTGTGAGAATTTCTCTTGAGAAATCTTTGTGCTGACCTGACCTGAGTGATTAAAATTCTATAATCAATCTGCCTGGTTTAAAAATTTATCTTCTCTTAGACGGCCCCCACTAGGTGAACCGACGATCTGTTGAAGGTCGACCTGGATATACGGGCGGCGCAGGACCGGTCGTTGTGGAAATCCTTGGGGGAGGACTTTGTCCAGCAGTGGACGTCATTCGGCTGAAACGAAACAAAGCTTATTTAGTCCACACTACGCCCGGTACTACTGCACCACAGATATAGATATACATAGATAACGCAAGTAGCACGATCTGTATTAAAACCAAGCGTGCCGACTTTTTAATACCTACTGTGACGTCACAGCCAACATTTAGTGACGGGAAATCGTAATCGATTCAAAGATGCCGATTCCGCCGTTGCCCCACAACGCACCGCTACGATCACAGAAATTGATTATCTGACAGACGAATGAGATACACAGACTAATGAGATATACAGACGAATGATATTAAACGGAATGTTTAAATAGATAATATTTTCATTGAATTTTTAATAAAAATGTATAATTCTAAAACAGATTGCTTATTATAATACATCGTTGCTGCGCGAGCATTTTTCGAGCCGCCAGTGTTGTCACACATAATTATTTTTTTTGTATCATTAATTTCAGAGTTACTTTCGCATTTATAATATCAATACCTATAATATATTATATGTATAATATTATATGTATCCTAATCCTAACTATATCCTAACTTTATATATTTTATTATGTATATAATATATATAATAATATTATAAATGCGAAAGCAACTGTCTGTCTGTTACTCTTTTACGCCAAAACTACTGAACGGATTTGTATGTGGTATACAGACAGATGGTCTAGACCTTGAGAAAGGACATAGGCTACTTTTTATTGCGAAAATTCCACGCGGACGAAGTCGCGAGTAACAGCTAGTATTTTATACGTTATTAATAAAAATATTGTTACTCATTAAACCTATTCACTAACCACATCATCATTGTCAATCCGTTTTAATATGTATAGTGGGGCATGCCGTTTTTTTAACAATCTCTTCTTTTTTGAAGGGTTTCGCGTTATCTAGGTATATCTATATCTGTGTACTGCACCCACCAAATAAACTTCAATTATGGTACACGTGTTAGTACCTGCCTGTTTTCAGGCCACGTTACATAACACGGTATTGTTTCATGGAATAATGGCTCCAATCGCATTGTAATACGATTGTTATTGCTATAAAGTTCACCTCGCTGTAAGGTGCAGTATATTCTTTAGGTATATTGATTTGTTTCTGTATTATGTTGTAAGGGTTTTTCGTGTTGTTTTTCATGATGATTGGGCAATTCGTATGTTATTGGTAAATAGTGAAAACACCGAATCGATACAATTTTGTAATCAACTCGACTAAGTATATTATACTAATGAATGAAATGAAACACATTTGATGTGTAAGTTCTTAAATTCCTGACCTTTATAAACAACAGTTTTATCGGCTCTGAAACCAGAAGTAAGAACATGTTGTGTCATGTTATTTTAAACGAACAAACCTTGGCGGTTTTAAATTCAGCACTTCCTAGCAAGCATGCAGCTATTGAACGTTATCTAGACATTTTGTGAAGTAATTCAAAAGTTATTGTCCTTTAGCAGTGATAGATGTCTTGTGGCTGAAATGATGAAGTAAGTAGGTAGGGGGTATTGTGGTCAGTAGCCGACAGGTTTAAACTTTAGAAAAAAAATCACATTATTTATTTGTATGTAGGCCCTTTTCAGACTTTTACATACACGTCCCAAATACTACCATCACTTTAGGAAAACATTACACACGTTACACGTTCGTGATGGTTTGGCAATAAAATAAAGTGTGTTCGATCGGTGGACTCTCCCCTTTCCTTTTTGTAACTTTTTGTCTTATTCTTTTCTCTATTTTTCTTTTGTTTCTCTGTCTCAATCAGGTAATTGATCTCCAGAAAGAAGTCACACACCCCAATTAACATTCTAGAGTGCAAGATAATAATATTCTAACGAGTTGTAAATCGAACTCGGTCCTTGCTAATGAAAAACAATTCGAAATCATACACACTCATACATAATTGACTCAATTCGCATACTGTGAATTGATTACCTCACTGCTTCTAAAATTTCAACCTTATGTCCTTTCATTTGAGTATACTGTTCCATAATCCAAATATGTGTTTGGAAAACTTTGTTTTGAATGCATGGTCTTATTGTTATAGCAATTAGAGCCAGTATAGAATACACACGAGGTGGTCCATATACATAAAATAAATCATAACAATGGCAGTATTCAATACATATGGTTTCAATACTTACAGGCAGCTACTCGAAATTCTTAGATAGTAGAAGTAATTCAGAACGTTTTAGCGCTAGACTTTTGTGCTAAGAATACATTATAAAATTTATGTATTTTTATGAATCAATACTCATTAGATCATACTTCTATTCTCGCCTGAATGTTGGCAATGGATGCCCCATTGAAATTTAAAAATATCTTAGAAATTGCCTAATACTCGTATCAACCACCTGTTCATTCATTTTCTCTGAATAATGTGAATTTCTATTCCTATCTTATCATATCAGTTCTAATTATTAAGTCGGCCTAGTTTAAAATCTTGCAGTTGTGGATTCGAAGCCCAGTGGGGCTATTTTGATTAGATTTTTTTATATTTTCTCAGTTTCTAATTTCTAGCAAGTTTCCTTTGCAAATAGAGATTATTATAAGTAGTAATAATTTCTGGAAATTATATCCACTATTTAGCTAGATGTGTCGTTGGCTGTTGGAATAATAAAGTTTGTAGATTCCCCAAATTACCTCTTGACCAATAGGAATGGTAGAATGTGACTGAATAACTTTATTGCTTCAAATGGTGGTTATAAAGCAACGTGGCACGTGTTACATAAAATGTAAGCCTTAAAATAATATTGTGTCTGAAAAAACCCAAGATTCAATATTTCAAGAATATGAAATTCAATCGAAATCTAGTTAATAGGAGATAACTTAAACTAGATTTCATTTCATTTCTGAATACGGATTTCAGAATAATGACTCAATATTTGCTAGACAGCTCAATTATTGAGAAGTGCATTGTTTTGTTTAATGACTGACTCATTTCCACTTAGATTCTAGATTCTACACAAACAAACAGTATAATTTTAAATATCGTTTAGCTCTAAAATTAGTTCCTAAGCTATAGACATTAGAGTCTGAAATCGAATGGAAAAGGAACGTCCTTGCTTGTCGCACTTTGTTCCGGTTAATGACGATAATAAAGGATTGAAGTTGCTATCTGTTTAATTATTCAAACGCAACAATGGGAAATGTATTTGCTTTAATAATTATGGGTTTTCTGAATATTTTATTTTAGTTTTCATTAATGGAACAAGAAAGAAGAAATGTTTTAGGTGAAGTAGAAACACTAAGGATTTGCCACGCACTATGCCTTCTGCGGTCTGCGATCGGGTCAAACTGTGTGTGAGTGGTCGTGGTTGCGCTGACGAGGTACACGGTGGTTTGTTCGATGTCATCTCCGAGGGTAGCTCTCCTGGCGATGTGCTTCCATTTCTGACGGTCAGAGGCGTCGCGAGTACACTGGACCATGGTGGACTCGGTAACC